AAGAGTTCGATAAGACTCCCTACGGTCGTCTTAATACGAACTCTTACCCATACATATTTGCTAGCTGAAACAATTTGACATTTAAACATGTATACATATTTTATACTCCCAGCAACAGGTTTATAAATGAAACTGTACATTGAAATATGATACACTTCAGTGTATCGCTGACTCGTTGTAAAAAAAAACTATCTACAGTGAAACTGTGATTATTCTGACATTTAGGAAATAACAATACGTTTTAACGAAATAGTAATTCGTTTTTAAGAAATATCAATTCGCTTTTACAATTTATTAATTCGTTTCTACGGTGCAATAAAACGTTTTTACGAAATATTAATTCGTTTTTACAAAATATTAATTCGTAATTACGAAATATTAATTCGCTTTTACGAAATATTAAATCGTTTTACGAAATATTAATTCGTAATTACGAAATATTAATTCGTTTTTACGGAATCTTATTTAAGATCATTGTGAGCTTGAAAAAGAACCTACTAATCTCACAAAGGGGTCAATTACGAAATATTAATTCGTTTTTACAAAATATTAATTCGTTTATACGAAATATTAATTCGTAAATACGAAAAATATTCGTTATTACGAAATAATATTTTGTAAAAACTAACTATTATTTCGTAATTACGAATTATTATTTCGTAAAAACGAATAATTATTTCGTAAAAACGAATTAATATTTCGTAATTACGAATTAATATTTCGTAAAAACGAATTAATATTTCGTAAAAACGAGTTAATATTTCGTAATTACGAATTAATATTTCGTAAAAACGAATTAATATTTCGTAAAATCGAATTAATATTTCGTTATTACGAATTATTATGTCGAAATTACTAATTACTATTTCGTAAAAACGAATAAAATTCCGGGGGAAAAAGTGTAGAAATGTCACATTAGGGGCTCTTTAAAATTATATAAATTCATGTAATTTCAAAAAAAATTTGAAAATGTTTCTAAAAGTAAAATATTGAAAAAAGAACAAATAATGTAATTTACACATTACAAACGGCAATTACAATCCATGTCAATTACCAAAAAGAGGGAAAAAAGAAATATATGAATATATTGACCTATTTCTTGTTTTTAGACTGTCATATATTTAAATTCCGCCAGTGAGATCTAAAACTAGTTAAGCCAAATAAAAGTTCCGGATACCCCTATATTATATTGTGTTGCTCATTCAAACAGGTTTAACTGTATTCTGATACCTTACCTCCACCAAGCACATAGTAATATGATTTCTGCACGTACGATAACCCATCTGTGGCATCCAACACAGTGTCGTGTAACTGACAGTTTAGCTGTTCTGTTGGCATAACGAAGAAGGAGATGCACGTGTCATTTATAGAGCACGTGCGGCCACACCCTACAGATGATCGAGTCCTGACTCTATATCCTGATGATGCAGTCATATTCTCCAGTTCCGGTTTGTATATCCACAACTGATGAGAGACATCACCTAGAAACATAAACAAAGAAATGTTAAAAAAACACGAGCACAAAGTACGGAGGAAAACTATATATACCTTAATAAAATATGAAATAAGGAGCACAGTCAGAAACATTAAATTATAGTTTTCAGTTAGAAAATCGGCGTTGTTAATAGTGACAATTTATGCAATTCAAGAAAACTACTATTAAACCATATTTTGTTTTGTAACTTTTCTTCTAAATTTTTGTTTATTTGTTCTCTTAAATCTTCACACACTTTAGGAATGAGTACTGCGTGAACATTTTGATACAAGATGGCAAAGCTTATTACCAACGTAGCTACATGTCAATAAAATCTACGAGCGTAGCATAATGTAAATGGGAAAGTTTACATGTTTAGTAAGTTATGCTGCAAAGTTACATGTGAATATAGCTAAAAATTTAAATGCACTAATGAATTAATTCTAATACGTACAGCTAGATACGCATGTTGCAAATATATGTGGAAAGTTTACCCATGTATTAAATATAGCCTGAAAATTTAGCTACGTATACATAGCAAATATAGCTGGAAATATTATCCATGTGCCAAATTTAGCTTTAAAGTTTAGCTACGTAGCAAATATAACTCGAAAGTTTAGCTACGTAGCAAATGCAGTCGGAAAGTTTACACATGCATAAAAAATAGTTCGAAAGTAAAGCTACCTAGGAAATAAAGTTTGGAAATTTAGCTACGTAGCAAATGTAGCTCGAAAGTTTTGCTACGTTGCAAATTTAGCTCGAAAGTTTACCCATGTATGCAAATATAGGTCAAACGTTTAGCCATCTATAATAACCTATTGAAAGTAGTTCTACCACGTGGTTTACATATGTAGACAGAAACAGAGATAATGTAAAACGAATGTATATATTTGACATCTAATGTTTGTTCCGGTACTCTTATGCTTGAAAATATGTCTGATTTAAATATGCCCATTGATGTTCAGTTTTAAACAAATCCGACTAAATGTCAACAGGTTGGTTTTTTGTACTTTCGGTTTCTACAGCCGTATTAGTAAATATATAAATAATGTATCGTTTGCTTTTGTACCTATGAATTCACTTATTTTAGGTGGACTTTTACTACATATAATAGAAATAAAGTTGTCAACAACTCCCAGCATTAAATTACTATTTGTTTACATGTTTACTTTCTTAGCGTAGGTTAGACCGGAATACCGCATCCGTTCTGTGTATTCATACTATCGTGCCGAAGACTGACAAAAAGGGCCGATTAGTTCACAGGTGGCAGTATCAGTGTTTGGACACCCCACCCCTATCTGCCCCTGGACCCCTACTACAACCCTGAAAAAAATAATTCAACACTCTAAGGCTTACTATAAGGTACCAAATACAAAACCACCGATGAAATTATATATATATAAAAAAAAATTTCCACTATCAAAATTATAGTTATAGAAAGGTGAAAAGCCTACTATATGTTCATTTGCCAAACAATGTGGAACACGGGAAATCGTCGTTTCGGCGACTGAGGCGCATTCCAAAGGCATTTTGTTGGATCATTCATTTACATTAAAAAAAAAGAACTTGAATTCCACAGCTTACTTAATTCAAGTCTAACGAATATCAATATTTTATCGATTTTTTCTATTTCACGGTATTTTTTTACTTGTCGTAGCCATTTTGGATTCTGATACCTATGTGTTTTAGGCGATCTGATTGGACGTCCAATTTGGCTCGTCCAATCAGATCGCGTATTTCAACCCAGGTATCAGACTGCAAAATGGCTACGACAATTAAAAAAATACCGTGAAACAGAAAAAATCGGAATGGGGTGGAGTGTCCAAACACTGATACTGCCATGCGATTGGTACGTAGCGAATGCAGCTGGAAAGTTTACATACGTTGCAAATGTAGGTGGAAAGTTTGCCAGTGTGACCAATATTGAGTGAGAGGAAAATACGTAGTACATATAGCTGTGTGTTTACCATCGTAGCAAATTCTGTAAGAAAGTTTACCCACATAGCAAATATCAATTTTACTGGAAACCTTACCCGTGTAGCAAATACATCTAGTTCTTGAATGTTTACATACGTTGTAAAACTGAGAGTTGTCCGCGTACTAAATTTTGCTGGAAAATAACTTAGTTGCCAAAAGAGCAGGAAAGTTTGCCCCGAGAAGCAAACTTAACGGGAAAGTGTATACATGTAGCAAATTTAGAGCACTAGATAATTTACTCGCGTAGCAAATTTACTGGAAACTTTATCCCCCCCCCCCCTGACAAAAAAAATATAACAGAAAGTAACTGGTATATTGACCCGGGGTGCTAATAAATGCTGCAAAGTAACCGCGTAGCAAATTTTCAGGTAGAAAATATGACTTGAAAGTTAACAGGATGATAACTTGAGCTTGTGTTTACACAACAAAGACCAATAACAATGCGAAAAATAGGTTAGGCAGATCAATGCCACAACCTATAATCAAAGGGCTGCAAGCTCTGTATTTTCTGATATTTGCAATCTAAATCATACTGACTATCTGTATGTATTTTCCTGTATAAGTTTATTTTTATATACTATAATTCATCTTACGCAGCGAATGCGTTAAGATTTTTTTTCTATAACAGTTTGAGATTGATACATATGGAATTTTGCATGACTAGAGTTGCATCAAAAATCATTTTTCATTTTTTATGACAGCCACACTTTATCCTTGCATATCGTGGCTAAAGACACTTCAAAAAAAAAAAGTTGCCTCCACTAGGATTTGAACCTTAGGCCTCTCACACCCTCACTGCGGTATACCGTACCCCGGATATTGCTCGATATTATGAGGACTTTCATCCCATTTCGCGACTTTGAACGGGGAACGAAGGTAAGTTCAGCGACGATATTTTCCAAACTAATGGCTATTTCATTTATCTAAACGGGTTTTATATATCTAGAGGTATGTTTGTAGCTCTTAAAGACGTAAAAGTATTACAGGTATTTGTAAAATTGATTAAACTACCCCTAAACGATCCGCTGCTCACTAGAAAAAACAGACCGCGATACTGTAGAATCGTTAGAAATTATTATATTACCAATATTAAAAAAAATGAATCGTGCAATTTTTGTATTCACTATCCAAGTATGCCGTGTCCAAATTTCAGCCAAAAAGTGTGAAAGTACAAAAAGATACAGGCCAAAAATGATACAAGACAGTGTACCGAGTATTGATTTTAAGTGTACAGAGTATTGCAAAACAGCCCAACTTTAGTGTACAGAGTATTGCAAAACAGAATGAGCACATTAGTATGGAAACTCGATATTTTTGTCTAACTTTCACGTCTGTTTATCGATTCAATTTCATTTTTCTGATAATGTACTGTTTATATGTTATTTATTCAAATATTTCAGATTCAGCAGTGCATTTTCAGTGTTATTTACTGTTTTTTTCTTACGGGCAAATACAGAGATTTAATTCCAATTTTGGTTGAAAATCACACTATGGATGAAATAAAGTGTGTGCATGGTCGGAAGCAGGGTAGAACCATCAAAATTGACGTTAAAAAAACTTTAAATACATGTCTCAAGACACTTTGATCAAGGAGACCCATCTTTGAAATGGACAAGAATAAAAAAAAACATATTTAGATGACATTTATAATAGGTTTTTTACAGGGCAAGTTTGCCTTAAGAAACATATCGACGCACTTAATAAAATATTGGCCTGAGGGCTTATGCCCGTCCAAACATGCCGGTATCGTCTTAACCTTTTACTGCATGAGCATAATGCGAAACATGGCTGTTTTCATTGAATTATAATTAAGCCTCTTGTTACAAGTTCAAACTGGTATGAAACTATAAAAAATGTTTCAATACTGATCAAACTGGGCACAAATGTTAGCTGGACCATAGCCTGTGGAATAGCATGCTCAATTTCCACTTATCATGGCAACGGGGTGGGGGGCGTCTCAAAATTGCCAAAAACCTCTATTTTGCGTTCTTTTTTTCCCATCAAAACTGATTTCAAGGTGCACCAACTTCTCAATTGATTGATTGAGATAAAGTCTTAGGTTTTCGGCGTTTATTACACGGTACCTTTAAATCGATCTGTGGCCATTTAGCCCCCCCCCACAAGTCCCAAGACTTCTCTGCGATTAGAGGGGCTACTGCCCCACTTCAAACCCCCAAACAGAAGGGGGCACACCCCCCCCCCCTGCGTAACCACCTTGATGAACCTTTTTAATGGGGGTGGCGCCAAAAAAGTGATCACTCTTTTGAACGACGAAAAAACCGTGTTTGTGACCTAAATAGCGCATGTTTTACACTATTTGAGGCCTCAAAAGGGGTGGGGTGTAAAGCCTTCAAAACACGCCTTTATGAGATAAAGGTTTTAAGGAACATAACCTTTTTATTGCACCAGCTGCCCTTTATCATAATCTTATCAAAATCTATTATTCGGATTTTTGAGCTGTACCCGCTCGGCAGTCATACGGTAACTCATTGCTAATGGCGTAACAAAATTTCACGTGCAGACGGTCTGGCGTTGCTAGAGTGCAGGTACAAAATGCCCGAAAGTTACCTTAATATGGATTTTTGGCATAGTAGGAAGTCGGTTGATATTAGATATTGGCACACTTGCTCAATACCGTCTAATATTGACAATATTGAGGCAGTATTAATGCACTTTGGATGCATTTTTTTACTATTTAAAGTAAGATATGCAATAATTATTAACAAATTCTGGAAAGGTTGATCCTTCGATAGCAACGAGAACATTTTAAACACAGAAAAATTGCTGAGTTCGTTCGGCTGAGATTTTTCACGAGCAGGAATGAAAATCTGGATTATTTGCAGATGTTTCCAGTAAAGTACCTCCGAATTCTGCATATTCTGCACATATAGTGTAAGTATACACAGTAAGAAATATTTAAAATTAAATGTGGTAAATACTTTGTGTTTACTACTTGCATTTACTCTTCATTGATAACCAATACTCGTTACACTAAAAGCAATACTCGTGACACCGGCGGGCAACTCCAACGCAATACTCGTACACTGACATGTGTATTTATTCTTCAAAATGCACTGTCATCTGAGGTTCTATTGTTTATTGAACATTTACAACATAAACATTATCATCATGATCACATTTCACTCGATTCAAGTTTTTCTTTAAGGAAGTATATGCACAAAACATCAAATTTGACTTATCCGAGCTCATTTATCACGTGAGCAAAGAGACGAATTTTACCTCCTAATTATATTTCAAAGCTATTTCTCAACATTTTTGGGGTTTCAGTAACTAAAGAAATTATCGTAGTATTTGTTTTTCTACAAAATTTATATCAAACCAATTCAAAATGACTAAATATCGTCACTAAACATACCTTCTTTCCTCGTTCAAAGTCGCGAAATGGGATGAAAGTCCTCATAATATCGAGCAATATCCGGGGTACGGTATACCGCAGTGACCCTAAGCGAGCGCGCTACCTCTGCACCACAGTGAAGTAATACATGTACGAAAGTAGCTTGAATAAAAACAAATACATTGAATTCTAAATTGAGAATTTACATTTCGTGTTTGTAATCCTTATTAATTTCGAGGTATTTTGTTCACGATATACCTGTTGTTTAATACTGATGAAAATAATTTAGCGAAAATCTTCTCGCCAAAACAGTCCGACATGTATATATTCCACTACTCGACATTCAGATTTATTTGTGTACTACGCTCTGGAGTATTCGGTAATCGACATAGCTAAAAATAGCATTTTCATTGATTAAGTTTTACGGAAATAACCGAACATTTTCATTGGGTAAAAAAAGATATTCATCCGCGAAATTTGTGATTGTAACCTCATATTTCTATTGACTAATCTAAACTTTTCATGCACTGTAATTCGTTAAATGCCTACATTAAAAATTATTCTTTCTTTTAAATTGCTGGTTTTTAAGCAGTTTTGAGTGAGAACTACTTTGCGTTATTAGGTCTGTTAGGAAATTTTGTGTTAGACCGTGGATGCTAGCTTTGTATTTACTGATCTTGCGATCAGAAAATACAAAAATGACTTGTAAGCGCAGTAGGTAGAGCAACCGTGTCAGTAATGTGTTTAACCCGTACAGGCAGAAGTTCGATTACTGGTAAGACACATTTTTAGTTTACCTCAGAGCAGTCATCTCTTCAGAAAACAAGTATGACCTTTTTTTCATATACATACATGAATTAATATGAGATCGAATATTTTATTACACTGCGATCAAAAATACAAAAAGAAAATAGAATAGAAAAGAAAGAAAATAAATATATACTATAAAATATACATTATAAGAAGAAAACAAAAAGGAAAACGAAAAATATATAGATAATAATGATAAAAAACAGAGCAAGAAGAAAAAACTGTGGTAATAAAATGGATTTACGTGGGGTTCGAACCTATGAGTACAAAACATTAAAAGTACAATAATTTCGATCTACCGGCAGAGCCATAACGGTTATACACCAACGATTCTATAAGAATAATGCTATATAGTATATGTAAGTGTTTACTTTTACGATATCGGATAATAATCCAGATAGCCCCGTTTTTGGAATTTCCTATGTATACCGTTAAGACCAAATTGTATCATAGTTTGGGGACCTTTCTGTTGAAAATGTGTCAGAGTTAAATTGTATACATATACATGCACAGTGCGTTAACTGGATTGCAGGTATTAGTTACCCGCACTCCAGAGCATGCCCATTGATTGGTTCATTTTTGCTAGGGTTTACATAATGCGACGGCAGAGAAAGGGAAAGCGACAGAAATATCATATTCAGAGCTCGTTCTTTGGTTACTTTTCTCCGGGGTTTCATATTGCGACAACAGGGAATGTGTTTTTATGTTTGACTATAATACAAAAGCGAAAGAACATCAAAACACTCGGCAATCTGATTAATACTCGGGGGCTACGCCCCCTCGTACAAATCAGATAGCCTCGTGTTTCGATGCTCTTTCTATTACTTCTCACTTATTACTTAAAGAACGTTAGAACGATAACTGGCGTACAAATTTTGCTGAACAGTTTACGGGAAAGCGCGTGTAATTTAACGTTTATAATACTGCACGATATATTTACAAACAACCGTTTATATAGGACCATATAACCAGTTAGGAATATTTATACCTAATATTACAAGAAAAGCATTGATGCAAAGCATCAAAGGGCGTCCAAGCAAGAAATGCAGCAAGTGAAGATGAACTAGTAGACATGTGATGAATTGTATATCACTTATGAATGAGCGGACGAAAGACATTGTTCATTATGAACTTTGATTGGCTTGCTAGAGATTAGAATATTACTTGTTATTTCTTTATGATCGTGGTAGCAACGGATATACATTTATACAATCATTTATAATCCATATGTGTAATTGTCCCTTATTATGTTATCGCTATTAGCAAAGACCCACTCTTAAGGTATCTGTTCACTTTTAGTAAAAATATGCAACTGGTTAGATCATGTTGAGCATAATTGTTTATTATACAATAATTGTAATATCTATTAATTCTAATAAAAAAATACAAATTTTATTAATATTGTTTTCTTTTGTGTGTGTGTGTGTGTGTGTGTGTGTGTGTGTGTGTGTGTGTTTTATGTGCTATTTTAATACTTACTACTCTTTTTTTTTATTAAAGTTGTAAAATAAATTTTAAGAATTCAATTGGCATATTGACCGACGATTATAAGTCAAACCTTAACTGGAAAAAGTCAGTAAATTATGGTTAATCTTTCCTTCGGCTCACCCAATAAATTCCTCCGCCTCGCCAGATAAACTTTCTCCATCCACGGCACCAACCTATTATTCTCTATATATCACTCCAAAACCAAAATAACATATAATATAAACGGCTATTTGTAAATATAACCCGAGCCGCTAGGCGAGGATTATATTGCAAACAGCCGTTTATATACGGCCATATAACCTGTCAATTATCTTTATAACGAAATTATAATACAGCAAGCATCATTTTTAGAGGAATAAAGCGAAATTTCTTTATAAATCGACAGCAGCCGTAAAACTATATAAACGTCACGATTATCCAATGGAAAGCGACGTTATAAACGTGCAGTATTATAAAAAAAAATCTATATAAACGTCACGATTATCCAATGAAAAATGGCGTTACAATGACGTTTTCTTGCTGTATTATGAATTCGTTATAAAGATTGTTGACAGGTTATATGGCCGTATATAAACGGCTGTTTGCAATATAAGGAGAGTTAACAAGCGCAACTCAAATTTTACTGGAAAGTTTACATATGCAGAAAATATAGAACTCTACATTGTTTACTCGGGTAGCAAATTTCACTGGAACTGTAACGCATGTAGCAAATATATAAAGTTTTCTTGCGTTCCAGTCATTTCAGAGAGGTTTGCCAGAAAGCGATTTTTTTTGGAAAGTTTGCTTTACAAATATAGCTGGCAAATTTATCTGTCTAATAAAATTTACTGGAAAGTCTACCCGTGTGGTATATAAAGAATTTTAGAAAGTCTTCCCCCGTCACAAATATTTTTCAAGAACAGATATCCACGGTAGCAAAATTTGCTGAAAACTTTTCCTAGTAGCAAGTATACCACGAAATATTACGTACGTAAGTAAACTGTTCTTCGTAATAAGATTATGCTAAGTTTATTCAGGCATCTAGCGGGCGATCGAGAATAAATGAAATACTATGAAAGCCTATATATTTGACCAACTTGACAAGCTTTTGCCCAGTTTAAATCAAATTTAAATTAAATATTATTAAATGAAATATTTAGAGCATTTACAAAACCATATTTCAAACACATTTTATTTATACACCATGGAAAACACCCAAAATTTACTCTTGGAACTTAATGCGTCACATTTTACACAATAATTTTAACACATTGAATGATATGCATCACAAAATCACGGGGGGGGGGGGGGGTTTACACGAAGGAAAGACTTCTTATGATAACTTGTCAGGCGTTCTTATGGGAACTGTTACGGAATTTCTGGAAAACATTACGGATTTCGTTAGAAAATTTTATTAGATAGTGGAGAAACACGCTTAAAAATGACTATTTTTAACTTTAAATGGAAACTTTGAGATGCTAAATTAAACGTTGATGATTAAGCTTGCTTAAGTGTCAGAAAAAACTTTATAGTCCATTTTCATCGCCTCTTTTTTAAATCTGGTAAAAAAATGAAAAAATATCAATCAAAATAAGATACAAAAATATACTTACATTTCATTCCATTTAACCTTTTATCGTACCTTAATTTCATATATAAAAAAGCAACACAAATTAGTAAATAAAATTAAAATTAACAAGTTGTTAATAAAATTTAAATCAAAAGTTTTGAAAGATAAAAACATTTGAAATTTACTTATATATATTCAGTTGTTAATTTAAAACAAAATTTTCAACAACGATAATATTACTTACAATGTGAAAGATTTATTACAAATGGAACTAGCAGAACTAACTGCCCACGCAGACGAAATAAAGTATCCATGTTTTCACTAAAGAACGCGTGATTCAAATAATGTTTGGAGTTGTTTTTTTTCCTTTATAAAATAAATTCAATTGATGCGTCAATTTTACAATAAATACGGAGTACAGTTTTCGCCATCACAGTTTCTAGGAAATGAACTTACGTCGTTTTAATATACTAGTAGTAATAAAGTGACAGTATGTGGAAAGGTGAGTGCAGTGTGATGCAGTGAAAAATCTTAACTTATTTTCACTTCTTTCTTATGTTACAAACAAACAATTACTCACGTGACCGACAAAAATTTCCATCAAATATCATTCGTTAGTTGTCGGTAACGTTCACACTATAAACAAGAGTGGGGGCAGTCTTTTTATATTTGAGACATTTTTTTTATATTTTATCCTAATCATTTTTCATCATCAATTATTGGGCGCTATATAAAAGTCAATCTCAGAGGCCTTTTTTCTTTAGAAAGGGCCAGTGTGGAATATTAAAAAATCAAATGTATCCCTGACTGACAAACTAACTTATGAACATATAATTGTTAGAGAAATAACAGTACAACAGGAAAAACATGTTATTTGTTTGTCCATTCATGAAATCTACGGACACTTTTGTACTAGTAAACAGCAATCTGCCCGTGGGGGTATTTACGAATAATGGTTTCGTGGTTCGTGACTTATAGCTGTGCCGCAACATTTTCTAGTGTTTTAAGTACTTAACATTCTTGGCTAAACAGACTGGCGCTCGTTAATCACACAAGACTCGTTTTCGAATGCAAGCGGAACACTTCGGACGACTTCTACGAACTTGTCGGAAATTGCCGAATCGTTACGATTGACACTGATTATCCCTTTACTTCATATAGACATGTTTTGACGGCTTTTCGACCCCACACACTTTTTGAGGCATCAAACAGTGAAAAATTACCCTATTTAGGCCCCCAAGCACAATGTTTTTCGTTTGAGAAATGTTGATAAAAAAGTGATCACTTTTTCGGCGCCGCCCCCTATCAAAAAGGTACATCAAGGGGTTGCGTTCGGGGCTTTGAAGGGGACGGCAGCCCTCCTCATCGCCAAGGAAATTTTGGACATGTGACAGGCTAAATGTTGCCTCAGGTAGATCGTAAGGTAACGTGTACTGACTTTGTAAAAGTAAAATGTGCTGTTAGCGTTAACCGTTATGAAATTGATAAACTAAATCAGTACTCAAGAAGGGAGAACGTGAGATTATTTGGTTTAGCTATTGATCAGGGAAAATCGCTTACTGAAACGGTAATTTCTATGTTTAAGCACATCGCTAGATTTGATGCCAAATGCAAGGACATCGAAACGTCTACAGGGAAACATATGACGAGGAGACATAGCAATGGTAGTGTTGTCGATGAGTCGGAAATAAATTTGAGTGTCTCCAACAACTTAGAAGAAGGATTGGATGAATCTTATACTCCATTCTCTGCTGCAGATATCAGTATTTGTCATCCGATTAAAGGGAAGAAACCGCATCATATTGTTAGATTTGTATCACGTAACAAGCTGATGGTGTTGTTTTCAATAAAGAAACGTTTATCAATCAGCCAAACGTACAAGGGAGTGTTCATATCTGATGATCTAACACCTTTGAGGCTACGTTTAAAGGATTATATCAAGGAATCGGGAAAAGTTTCTAAACTTTACACTCGTGATGGTAACATTCATTGTGTATTCAAGAATAAAGATGAAGTAATCTCTTCACGTGATGATCTATTTAAGATAGAGCTACCAAATGACTTTAGAAAACTTGGTCTTGTAGCCTATGAATAGGAATACGCAGAGGCTCAGTCTACTCGTAACCAGTTATGTTTGGGAATAAATGACCCTATTAGTTCAACTTCATTTAATTTTTGTTCTAGTTATAACTTGACCGGTGGTCAAGACTGTTCAACAAGTAACGATTCCAATAAGTTTATTTCAGTTGATATAGTTTCTAACCAGGGTGATGATGGAAACAAGTTATCTTGTAGTAAAAATGACAATATTAATAAACAGTTATCGCACGTTGATTTTTATTACCATAATAGTGATATAGGGGCATGTAGTATGAACTCAAAATATGACTCTAATCAAGTTAATATGTGTGTATCTGCTGACAAGGATTCTACTTTAAGTAATCATGATGATAAACAGTTACCGAATAACAGTGACTTGGGCCAAGTGAATCAAAATCAGTGGAACAATGATAATTCTAGTCATATAGATCAGTGTTTAATAAATATTCAACCATGTTCGAGTACAAGTTACTCAAGTCAGTTAAAATCATCACTTGTTAACTCTAGTGATTTAAGTAAGCTTAATTCTTTTAATAATTGTGATGATATTTCACATGATCATGTATATTGTATGTCTAATATTTCTAATATTACAAAATGTTGTTCTATAAATGTATGTAGGCTTAGATCTAAACTTGTAATTCCAGACTTCATTAATTTTGTTGAAAAATACGATATATTTTTTGTTTCTGAAACTAAATTAGATGCATATGACACTGTTTGTATGAAAGACTATGTTTTCTTTCACAAATTTCGAGATAAATGCCGTAATAAATCGGGGGGAGTGGGAGTTTTTATCAAGAAATCTTTGTCCACAAAGTTAACTGTGTTAGATTGTAGCTCTGAGAATTTTTTATTTTTAAAATGCAAAGATTCTGATGTCATCTTTGGGAATGTTTATATTCCTCCTGAAGGATCTCATTATAGCTCTCTTGAATTATTTGATAGCTTAGAAAGTTGTATTATTGATTTGAAAATCAAATTTGCAAACTGTTTATTCTGTATTTTTGGTGATTTCAATGCAAGAACTGGTTCCTTGAGTGATTTTGTTGACTTTGATAAGTATGTAATTAATGAAAATTTTGATGATATTACCATGCAACATATAGTTATCAATAACCTTGATGAACTTGGTTTCCCTGTTGAACGTTTTTCTTGTGACAGCAAATGTAATAATTATGGCCAGAGACTTATTCAGTTGTGTAAATCTGCAAATATCTTTATTGGTAATGGTAGATGTGGTAATGATGCATATATTGGTAGAAACACATGTAATAAAGGTAATGGTAGCTTGATTGATTATTTGCTTATGTCAGGAATTTTGTTCCCTGTATAACATATTTTAATGTTTTGCAATTTGATCCAATTTTATCTGATGTGCATTGTGCATTGGAATTTTGTTTTAACTTGAACATTATACCAGATTGTAACAGTTATGGATGCAAGTATCAAATCTAAAGATGATGTTTGTTATAGGCCTGTGTGGAGTTCTAATTTAAGTGCTAGTTATAAGCATAAGTTCGATAGCACATCTGTATCAAATTTATTGGATGAGCTTAAAGAGGTGAAAATCGTCATTTTGATGTAAATGTTGTGAATCATTTGACCGGTAAAGTGTCTGGTATTTTAACCGATGCAGCTGTAAGTTGTGATCTTATAAAGAAAAATGTTAATCATAGGAAGTCTAAGAAAAACAATAAAATTTGGTTTGATAGTGATTGTAAAAATGCTCGTATTCAATATATGAATTATAAAAACATGTATAGCAGGAACCCTACTGCAGGAAATAAAGATAATTTAGTTTGTAGTAGCCGACAGTATAAAAAAGAAGTTAAGAAAAAGTTTAGAGCATATCAGAAAAGCATTGTTGATAAAATTAAAGGTTTAAAAAATAAAGATCCTAGATCTTATTGGAGTCTATTGAACAAATATTCAGGTGATCGGAAGGAAGTTATTAACAAAGTAACAACTGAGGCTTTTTTGATCATTTTAGTAAATTGAATGAGGTTGACACTCAAGTTGACATTGATGACTTTGATATAACTAATGTCTCGTCAAATAACTCTGATTTAGATAAACCATTTACTGTATTAGAAATACGTAAAGCTATTATTTCACTGAAAAACAATAAAGCATCATCTTCCTTTGATCATGTATTGAATTGAATATTTGAAGAATGTACCCGACAGCATGTTTGATGTGTTTTGTTATTTGTTTTAATATTATTTTAGATTCTGGAATTTTTCCTGAAGTTTTGGAGTAAAGGGATTATTTTACCAATATACAAAAACAAGGGTAACATAGACGATCCAGATAATTATAGGGGAATTACTATGCTTAGTTGTTTTGGGAAACTTTTCACAAATGTTCTTAACTCTAGACTCAATAATTTTTTAGAAAGTAATAATATTCTCTGTGAAGAACAAGCTGCATTTAGGAAAAAGTATAGCACTACTGATCATATATTTTCTCTGAAAACTTTGATTGATTTATATCTGTCTAAAGGTAAAAAGTTATATTGTTCTTTTATTGATTATAGAAAGGCTTTTGATAGCATAAATAGAACTGCACTTTGGCAGAAATTAATTAGCAATAATGTTGATGGTAAATGTATAAAGATCATTTATAACATGTATTTACAAGCTAAATCTTGTGTTAAAATTAATTCTTTTAGTCATATGTCGAAATTTTTTACAAGTCATACAGGCGTTCGTCAGGGTGAAAATTTATCTCCCATATTGTTTTCTTTATTTTTAAATGATTTAAACTATTTCCTGTCACAACATTTTAATGGTCTGGATCTACTATCAAACATTGTAAATGATACCCTGAGTGATTCTGATGTTGAAATGTATTTTAAATTGTATATTCTTTTATATGCTGATGACACTGTTATATTTGCTGAATCTGCTGAAGAACTGCAAAAAGCACTAGATGCAATGTCGAATTATTGTCAATTATGGCATTTACAAGTTAATCCTAGTAAAACTAAAATTGTTGTTTTTTGTAAAAGTAAAACAGGAGGGTTTTCAATGGAAATAGCCATTTTTCACAATATTCTCATAAGGTAAAGGGTTATAGGTTCCACATTTCTGCGACTCAATTTAAGTGGATAAGTTTGCAATAACGTGAACATTTCAGATAAATATAAAACAGAACATGTAACTCTGCAGTACTTGAACGGAATTCTAATTTTGCAGACGACAATATTTATTATATTTAAGACTTTGGTTCTTTAACATCACCCACATTTGTATGAGAGGTGTGTACTAAATGCATGTACAATAAATTTACTATAAAGAACCTGTCCGCTTTTTGAATCCCTTTGGATTATTACTCGTCTTTTATACGTACGTACGTACTAAACGTAATCTGGATCCTTTAAATTTATAAGCAATGCAATGAAATAATCGTTGTAGGGGATGGCGTTATCATGAACTGCTTTCAAACATATCGCCCGCTTTTTTTGATTCGCTAAACAAATATACATACTAAAATTACTAAGGAACACCAAAAATATATTATAACACTATATTATATATTTAAAATGTTACATAATTAATTGTTACATTATTCTCTAGGTGTTTGGATTGGAATGACAGCACGGAAGGGAAATGGGAATATAGTAACTACGGTCTACCAGTTACCTTTGGCAATGGCCGAACCGACGACAGTCAGTTTTGAAAACTGTGTAGGCTACTTTGGTTTGTTTCAATGGCAATGGATTGATATCTTCTTTACATATGGTGACGTTAATACATTTTGTGAGTTAAAGTATGAGTTAAAGTAAGTTTCTTTTTAAGCTGTTGAATAAAAATAAGATCTAAGTGTTAAGTGAACTCATCGTTGTATATTGAGTATAGAATATTCAAATTCTAATGAATATTTTTTAAACAGCGATTAAAGAAACGCTCAGTCTACATTGTCATCCTCAACTAAAATATGGTATACGCGAATGTCCGGATTAATCTATTTCCTATATAAAACTTTAATGCAATAATAACATACACCAATAGCCAAAGAATTAGAAGAAAGTGTCGCATTAGAGGTTCCATCATTGTCGCATAATCATATCTGCAAATGTTTCTAAATTCAAAATTTCACCATTATCATAATTATGTGACAAGCTCAGCAATTTTTGGCCCAAATGGTGTATCTGAGCGAAAATGAGTTTTAACCAGTTTCAGATAGAACATGCTGGAGACAGATATTCTTTTGAAAATTTCTGTTATTCAAGGAAAGATTGTGCATTTTCAAGCATCACCATAACAACAAAATATATATTTTTGAGTCGAATTTTTATTGAAACATTTAAATAAGCAGATGTAATATATACTTATACATGACAAAATAATTAACAATCATAAAATTCATCCTTGTATGAAGTATGTTAATACTTCATATAGGAATTATGAAACTAGTTCTTTATTGGTTGATATGGCAACAAAAGACCAGTAAAATACATTAAATACAACATTTTTGCATGTAACTTGATTATATATTACTAAAGTAATAAAAATAAGAATACACATTTTTACAACCATTAAGAAATAAAAAAAAAACAGTAAGAGCTTGCATATAGATATGTATATATTCATGTTGAATATTGCAAAATACGGTGCTAGAGGGTGTGCTAGAGGGTGCGGACGGCAGCTTGCATTAACGCTTCTGTCCATGAACTGGCTCATTCAAACAAAGCGTGCAGTATTTTCAATTTCGACGTTTTGGTCGTTCTTTAGAACCTCTGGTATTCTTTCTATTATGCCTCATGTTATAATTATATCAACACATGCAACAGATTCGTACGATAGAATACAAGAAATGTCTTAAATACTACATATTACTTTGTATATGTTAACGCATTGTTCATCCTTTTACCAGTATGTTACGCTGACGAGGAATTGGGTATATTCGTAACAGACTTGCATACAGAATGACAGAGAATTTTACCAAATGAATACTAAATGCAGACTATCAACTTATATTTCCATGTACTCCGTCGATCCTAAGTCTAAAAACATCAGGGACAAGAGTCAATCAATAAGGATATGTTAGACGTTTCAAGTTTGTCAACAACACGCACACACGCACGCACGCACGCACGCACCCATACACACACACACACACACACACACACACACACACACACACACAAACAAACAAAACAAAAATTACAGTCCAATAAATTGAAAATTTATTGCAAAGAAACCTTTTGAATTGTGTTCTTCCTAATTTAAGAAACGGTGCAGAGAGTAATCGCCTATTTCTTTTTAAAACAACACTTGAAATGTATTATAAAATGAAATAGACAAATTAGAAAATGAAAGAAGCATACTCATTACCTTTATAAGGGTGATATTTTAAATAAGGGTGGTACGTAACGAAATTTCCTTGTCCTACATTTTTGTTTTGTCCCAATTCATTTTATTAGAATTTCAATTATGCTAAGTCAATAGTAACTAAGTAATAATTATGCGCACTTCTGTTAGATAGTGCAATTTAACACAAGGTCTCTATGTCGTTATTTTACAATGATAATTCTAAGCAAACAAAGCCGATGGGTAGACGTATTTCATTTGTTTGAAAAAAAAACTTGATGCAAATATCTTAGATTCAAATAGAAAAACGATCTCGCCATGGGTAAACATGCTGATATTGGATTAACAAATTAAAAAATGACATTAAAGAAATCGCTCTAATGCAATTAGCAAAACTCTACTGAGAACTATAATTGAAAACTAGACTAAATACTAGCGTTCAATATGTATAGAGAACCAATATGTAAGTCAATATTTACAAATTAAAGTTCAAATAAAGAAATCGATTCACACAAAATATGTTCTAAATTACTTAAAATTTAAATTAAAAGTTTGTATTTTTCTTTTTGATATTGTCCTACTATTTGCGCGCAAATAATGGATAAAATTCATATATTCATATAATTATAATGACATGTTGCCAAGTGTATTCACAAGTGCATTCCAATTTGCAGAAAGTAACATTTTTTGTACACATAATTATTTACATTGAACTATTTATTTAAAAAAATATTATTTTCTACGGTGGCACAAAGGTGACATGTGTTTTTTTTATTAATTTCGTGGCCACGAGATACTATGTCGTGGCCACGAGTTACTAAGTCATGGTCACGAGATAGCTAAGTCGTGGCCACGAGATACTATGTCGTGGCCACGAGTTACTAAGTCGTGGCCACGAGATAGCTAAGTCGTGGCCACGAGATAAATAACCAATCAGATTACACCATTTATATGAATTTCCCTAATTAACTAGACATGTGCTATAGTACAAGGATGTCCCTACTTCACCTGCCTGTAAAAGTGCCATTTATACAACTTATTGACTGGTCAATAATTTTACATTTAGCGTCACTGTGACCCTGATTTTGGACCCCATGACCTTGAAATTATTAGATGTCATCTACCGATCAGGTGCAATGATCTTTCTGGGTTATATAAGCCATGGCTTATCCCTTCTAAATTATTCATCAGACAAGGATTTTACCTTATAGGCTATCTACTGTCCATGGGCAATGTCCGTTCCAAATAAAATAAACCAGGACTTATTCCTTCTAGGTTATCGTATAAACAAGGTTAACAGGCCGTAGTACGTACAAACTGACCAATTCGATTACAAAATTGTCCGAACAAAGAGCTATAGTCAATTAATGTCTGATGGGCCTTGGAATGTGACTTTCTAATATGATCCTAAAAGTGAATATCTTCAGTATTTTCAAAAACTAATGTTGCATGTATAAGTAAAATGTTAAGTTTAAAAAATTCATATTGTATATAGTGTATTCTGATTGGTTAATTATCTCGGGGCCACGACTTAGCTATCTCGTTCCCACGATTAAGTAACTCGTGGCCACGACATAGTATCCGTGGCCACAGCTTAGCTATCTCGTGGCCACGACTTAGTAACTCGTGACCACGACATAGTATCCGTGGCCACAAGACATAGCTATCTCCTGGCCACGACTTAGTAACTCGTGGCCACGACATAGTAACTCGTGGCCACGACTTAGCTATCTCGTGGCCACGACTTAGTAACTCGTGGCCACGACATAGTACCTCGTGGCCACGTCTTAGCTATCTCGTGGCCACGACTTAGTAACTCGTGGCCACGACATAGTATCTCGTGGCCATGACTTAGCTATCTCGTGGCCACGACTTAGTAACTCGTGGCCACGATATAGTATCTCGTGGCCACGACTCAGCTATCTCGTGACCACGACTTGGTAACTCGTGGCCACGACATAGTATCTCGTGGCCACGACTTAGCTATCTCGTGGCCACGAATTAGTAACTCGTGGCCACGACATAGTATCTCGTGACCACAACTTAGCTATCTCGTTGCCACGAGTTAGTAACTCGTGGCCACGACATAGTATCTCGTGACCACGACATAGCTATCTCTTGGCCACGACTTAGTAACTCGTGGTCACGACATAGTATCTCGTGGCCACGGCTTAGCTATCTCGTGGCTACGAGATAGCTAACTCGTGTCCACGACATAGTATCTCGTGGCCACGACTTAGTAACTCGTGGCCACGACATAGTATCTCGTGGCCACGACTCAGCTATCTCGTGACCACGACTTAGTAACTCGTGGCCACGACATAGTATCTCGTGGCCACGACTTAGCTATCTCGTGGCCACGAATTAGTAACTCGTGGCCACGACATAGTATGTCGTGGCCACCACTCAGCTTTCTCGTGACCACGACTTAGTAACTCGTGGCCACGACATAGTATCTCGTGACCACGACTTAGCTATCTCGTTGCCACGACATAGTATCTCGTGACCACGACATAGCTATCTCTTGGCCACGACTTAGTAACTCGTGGTCACAACATAGTATCTCGTGGCCACGGCTTAGCTATCTCGTGGCCACGACTTAGTAACTCGTGGCCACGACATAGTATCTCGTGGCCACGAGATAAATAAAAATACACACATGTCACCTTTGTGTCACCGTAATTTTTTAAGTTTCCTTGAATATACTGATTATTCTCGCTGTTTGGTTCCAGGTAGTTGATACGTCCGTCAGCTTGCCAAATTAAAGAAATAATCATTTGTCCACAAGCAATCATGAATTCAACACGTGTATGCATCTTTTTCGCTTGCATATCTTTTATAGCTGGTCAAACTCTGAGGAGTATATTTACGAAACATTTTGTTATAGAAGATTACCGCTGTAGCAATGAGACACAAGTCGCATTTAATAAAAGTGCCATTTACCGGTATCTCAGGTGTATTGGTGATTGTGGAAGAATGAGTTCCTGTATGAGTGTTCTATACGATCTTGAGACCTTGTCATGCATTGGTTGTAACAATGTCATAAGCGTGGAAGACACAGTAGAAAATTCAACTTTGATGGCTTTTCAAAAACAAGGTAGGAATAATGTATAGACAGTGATACGTATTTTTTTGCAAGACCAGGAGTGATATTTTCCTCACGTTTTACACATTACTTTTACATATCGTTTATATCCGTAGCTGCTTATGTGAATTATCGTACTTTCACTGGTATGATTATGGGGTTGCTAATGATAAATTGAAGAAATAACAGCTCGGAAAGCTGAAATGAAGAACACTTGGCCGAAAAAATTGCAACGTTCTGACACTAAACGCGAATTATTTAAGCTGAACACTTACATTTGCTCGTAGGGTGTGTAGGTTAAACTTTGTCAGAGATGTTATCGTGCGGTGTAAGAAACTGTGATATTGTACATGTAACGTATTAAAACAGTATTTTCAAAAGATATAACTAGAAAACTTTTTCTGTGTAAATGATCTCAGATATCGCTAGAAAATGAAAATTAAGAACAAACATTTCTATTGGCTAAAGCTGCACAAATTGGTATGAGCCGATTATACATTGGCTGATCTAAATAAAGATGCTGAATCTAACTATAAGTAGCAAAAAGATAAAAAGAAGGGAATGAAATATCAAAATAGCGGAAAAAGAACTATGTTAAGTATAAAAGTCCAACAACATAACTTATTGTATGATTGATGACATTATATTTAGTGTTTACTAGGTGAAAACTTGTATCTTTCATACCAGACTGAATATGTTTTTGCCGAAGACTAATTACATGAAGTGAAATCTCTATTGATGTATTTTCCATTGAATTAAATAAATCAAGTTTGTCGAGTATGATTCTTTTTCTTTATAACTATATTTTCTTATATAGTGTATTAATACAGAAAACAAATTGCTCTAATATATATTTGACGAACTACATTTAGTGGTGTTGTACACAGCATTTTAAAACTATTGAGCTTTATTCAGATATCTGAAATATTATTGTATACACTTTTACGATTGAGTCACATTCTTTGATCTAACAGAGTATCTTATTGATATACATTTTATTTGCAGTCGGATTTACACCTACGCCGACAACAACGACTACGGCTCTTCCTGCATTCTCATGCCCGCCCGACGATTCTATTTTTAGAACAGTACAATTGTCCGATGGGGAGCATTTCACTTACAAGTAAACCATTTTATAATACATACTAAAATCTCAGTTATGTTACATGATTCGTTTTTATTTCAAACGTATCATCATATACAAATGTATATAAAAACATAGAAAATTGTAAAGAAACTCCACTGAGGTTCTGAAGTCGAAACAACAACAACAACAAATGAATTTCTTACAAAGATCCGTCGGGGCACTTAAAACAGAAATATATACAGATATATAAAATAATAGTCAAGATATAAACATAGATATAAATTTCAAAAATCGTATTTTCTTGCCATTCTGAGTCCGATTCGAGTGAAAAGCTATGCATTTTGCTTAACTAAAATAAACAATGTGGGACAACATATGTTTTGTTCTCGGGGAACAAGTTAAAAATGAGTGTTGATACTTGTACATATTTACTCATTTTTGTTTGGAAAACATTGGTGGGGAAATATTTTCAATGATGTCTTTTTGAGACTTTTTTCTTATACATGACTTTTTATACATAATTTAGAAAGCATGATTTTTTATATTTATTGCGATATTGGTGAAAACTCTATGTTTGTAAGATGAGAAAATTATAGCCCGCAATAAGTAAATACAAAGTATATATTACATTGCAATAAAACGCATTCGGATTTAATCCACGAGAAAGTTTCAAAGTCTTATATTTTGCTAAAGTAGTTTATCATAAGTTGGTACCAAATTGTTTTGACAACACTGTGTTTAAGTGATATGCTTTTAAAACAATAACTTTTTAACAAGTAATAACAACTTATGTAGTTAAATAATATCGTTTTCTTTTTAAGGAAATGGTCAATACATTGATAACGTGCGTTACCAATGCCCCCTATTATGCCAATTATAATATTTACACAGTCTAGCCGATTTCAGCTTGAAAACAAATTTTATCAAATTCATAGTAATAGCTGAAGTCATTCATAGTCATAACTGAAGTCATTCATAGTCATTGCTGAGGTCCTTCATAGTCATTGCTGAGGTCCTTCATAGTCATAGCTGGGGTCCTTCATAGTCATAGCTGGGGTCTTTCATAGTCATAGCTGGGGTCTTTCATAGTCATAGCTGGGGTCAACGTTTTAAAATATTCTATCAAGACACTGTCTACTTTATTTCGGTTTTAGTGTCCAAATTTATTTGTCATTCAATGAAAACGCTGTATTTCTTAATGAGTGTTAATTGTCATAAAAGAAGAAAAGTCGATATTATTTTTAATTCCGTTCAAAGTCGTCTTCTGTTTTTTATAGTGCTTCATAAATGACATAATAATGTAAACATATACCAAGTCCCCAAGTATGTTTGTATTTATCCGTAGCTGTTCTACAGAAATTATCGCTCCCGTCGAAGTTTCTTATTCCTGTAGAACAGCACGGGTGAACATATCCACTACTTGTTGCAGTTGTCAACATCAAAATTCATTATATTCATTAAAAAGTTATTTCAATATCTGAGTAAAGTTCGTAGCTTATTCCAACATTGATATGTGTGTCTACAAATATATATATAGAGTTTATTTTATGTATGTTTGTCTATACTTAATGTGCATTCTCAAATTGATTTTGCGTTTCCCTGGAAACGAGGGGTTTTGTTAGAATAAATTAAACCCAAAAAAAAAAAAAAAAACCCCGTAAACTGTAAAGATAATCAAATTTCTGATCCGCATATTTGCCTTTAGAATAAACATATGAAAAAAGGATTGAAAAGGTAAAATATTAAAAAAAACTTGAAATTTAGAATATCTTTACATAAATTAAAAACTTGAACACAAATCGTTCCAAAATTGTTTGTCTGAATTGAAAATTCTATATTTTGATGATAAGTTATACATTAAATTAAACGTAAATCATACAACATAAAAACTGAAAATTAGCGATCTAAAAAGATTGGCCTGTGCAACATAGTCTACATTAGTTACACAGTATCACCAGATTCTGTTATTTTTGACTTGTTGCTATCACCATTTTTATGTTGAAATCAGATTATTTTATACTAAATAATAAATAATAACTTAGAGCATAACTATATTTTACAATGGCAGGGTGATTAAGACGTTTGTGACACAGTGGGATGCTAGGGCAGCGTGTAACGCCCTTGGTGGATTCCTTGCTCGCGTGAAAACTGTTGCCAAAATGAACATGCTTCTGGATCTTGTCAGGAATTGTTCAGGTATGAAATATGCAATTTTTGTTTCCTGCCTTTGATTTGGAATCTTTTCCTGAAATTAATGAGACTTTATGTCCTTTCAATTTATGTATACTTAAGACTTAATGTCTTTTGAGCTAAAGGGTAGTTCGGACTGGCCCTCTTTCAGTTTTAAGTATCTGACACTTTCAATTCATGTAGTTTTTGAGGTAGATGGAAGTGACGTCAGTATATACTGGTAACGACGTCATTTGATGTATAGATTAGTAATTAACATAGTTATTTTTTTAAGATAAAATAACATAGTGTTAGAAAAAAGAAAGTTAATATGTGATCTTGAAAATATACAGCATACTCTTTGATAAAAAAGGGGTTTAACCCCTCGAGCCGGTAGAGGTTGAAAACTTTGTGAAATAGATAGTTTTATATGATTATATAAATTTTTTACGACATTCGGTCTTTTCAGATTTAACTTTTTAATTAAGATAGTTGAGAGAATTTCAGACAGTGTGTACGATAGACTAGTCCGATGGCAATCACGCAGATTTTAATCTTCTGTAACAGGCTACAATGTTGCCGAATACTATGTTGATGGAAGCAATGCAAATGCTACAGATTATTATTGCACCAGGGGCGTGGACGTTTGTGGACGGAGACCCAGTCACTATGTCGGCAGACTTTTGGGGGCACACGGATATCCAAATAACCCAAACATTCAACATTGCTTACGCATGCAAAATGCAACTGCAAACTACAAGTTTGATGATTGCTTATGTGCCCTTGTATGCTACTATATTTGTGAAAAATAGATAGATCACTAAGTAATACATGTATAAGTGATAACATGTTAATTGAAACAATTTTTTTTTTTGTATCAGAGATGTTTAATGTTGGTATAATTTTTGGCCTGCAAAAAAATAATAAATAATATATTATTTAATATATATATATTGTAAGGCAATATTGACCTGCAAAACTCATTTATTTTTGGAAGCTTTTTTCGTTAGTTTCCGTAGTTGATTATGATTAACTAATTGATTTCAATGATAGGAAAGTTCTCGATAATTTATTTTATACTAACGTCCAGTCAGATTTCTTTAATATTTTTTTAAGTTATATGCAGCATTAGTGGATGAATCATTACTTTAATTGCTTGTGCCCTTTCTTTGAAAAAAAATCAAAACTTTGAAATATAGATGTGTATGTAATTTTATACAATGGGTGATTGGCATGTACAAAAACTTAGTAGTCAAGTTTCGCAAAAATATAATAATTAAAAGAACTTAAAAAAATGTTTCATCACGATCCGAACCTACAACCTTCCATTTGAAACTCAAAGTCTAAACACCTTATCACCGAGGCTAGTTAGGGCAGGTCTGTAACTTTAAGTTATACATAAAACATGTATACTATATTGCCATACTTTAAAATCCGTATGATTAAACTTTGAAATCCAATAGTCACCGACCAAAAAATGCATTGATGGCCACATGTCTCGGATCAATATTGTCAAACAATAACAGTACTGACATGGAAAACCTATCATGTCCACCGTTTCTTTAAATCAAAACCAGTTAATTTGTGTTTGGATTGGAGAAGTGGTGTTACTATAGAATCAATGAGTATTGAATATGTTTTTAGGATATTGCACCAATTCTTTTTTTCGTATATATTTTTCAAAGCATTGTGTACACGCACGCTATATTAACGGCATTGGATCTTAACGTAATATCCCTCACAATGATATGTGTCATCATGCGTAAATAATAACAAAATAAAACCTTAAAGCAGTTTTCATCAATATGCAAATTTTCATGGAATTGTTGAAAATGTATTGAAAATATGATATTGCTAAGTTATCAAATAAAGTAGTTTACACGTTGCAAAAGGCACTTAAAATCAAGGTAAATTGCCAAAAAAGCTATCAAAATGTGTGCAAAAATACCTATTATTGCGGAAGTCACGCAGCGGGTATTATGGTGATAACCCTGCAAAATAAGTCACATATAAATTATTCTTGAATCTTCAATATTTTTACATTTTTTTAAAATCTTAAGATATATTAATAAATTTTGATTTTCTTGAAATATTTTTTTCACCTGAAGACATGAAGCTTTAACCTGCAGCATTTGTGAAATGAATTTGACCTGCTTTTAATTTTAGACAGTCCATTCTAAGGCTTAAGGATTTCAATGTACGTGTGTATAAATAAAAAGACACATCGGGATTTTATAGCAATATTTGCTTTGATTTACATTTTCATTGTGTTAAAGCAAGTGTGAAATATATAATCTAATAGATGTTTTCTTTGTTTTGTTTTATTTTTTCGAACTGTAATACTAATTATGACGCACTTTTTTAGAAGTAAGAAATTCCGTTTCTTGCCTCTGAATTTGACTTCTACAGCCTCCAGTTTAGGACATTTCAGTATGAAGAAATATCGAGATAAAACCATGGTGTTGTATAGTCAAACATTTAAGACTGGTCCCCTTTACTCTTTGGTGGTAGTAAGGGTAATTACTTTAGAGTTAGGGTAGGGTAACAAGTTAATAAGAGATATAAATGTAGATTTTCCATTTTGGAAACTAACGGGGTTTCAACTCAAACACGAACTATAAACTAAATAGTCCTGCGCGATAACCACTTGGCCATGTCGTGCCACTGTATTTGTTTATTTGCGTCGTATTTATGTTGTTGTCGTCGTCGTTTAAATTTTTTTTTAATTCATTGTTTTTTTTGTTTGTTTTTCTTTCTGTTATTATTTTGTTCAAATGCTGCTTATGTTTAATTCTCTTAAATGATTTTTCCTCTGTTTCTTTTTCCTTATTGTGTCCTTGTTTTATTGTTTTATAATTCATGCTTTCATTTATATATCTTATCCCCTTACAATTTACTAACATTTTTATTTCATACAAGCAATTTCTTCAAACAATTTTTTTTGAAGCAGATATATTGCATTAAAGACTTTAAGGAAATACTGAAGCGTTTTCCCATGCCGATATATCTAGCTACATGTTGTTTATAGTTTATTAGTTTAGTAGTGTCTCATCCACATGTACACACATATATTACAACTGAAAATACATGTTTACAAAATGTCATCCTTAAAAAAGAATCATATGAGCCTATCATAGTTTGCTACATACATTTTACAGGTATCAAATTATACTATCTACATGTTAAAAGTTAGATTACCATTTCTCATACACATATAACTCTTTTAAAATAACCCTTCACAACTATAACACTGAAATAAAATATAAAACTGACACTATTATGTTGTTTGCAAAGTCAAATAATTATGTTAGATTCGACTTAAGTATTTTTCTTTTTTGCTTAAGAAAAAAAAGAAATATTAGAATTTATGTATGTTTAAATTAAAACCCATATGTGTTAGTGAAACACCTCATAGTGTAACATGTTAACTGGAATTAAATAAAAAAAACGACAAATATATACATTTTTGTTATGAGCTTTTGGGTTTTGGGCGATTTTAAACCCCAAAAATACGAAAAAATCCAGCAAAGAAATTACCCCTTTTAAAATCATTTTTTTAATTGTTAATTTTTTTAAAAATCTTTTTTTAGCAAGGGAAAATGCAAAAAGGTAAAAGGCGCCCACAAATTTTTTCCCAATTTTGCGTAGGTTCAACGGGGCCCTTTGTTTTGTAATTTAAAAGGGGTTTAAAACAATAAAAATTTACAGGGAAAAAAATTTTTTAATGTAAAAAGCCCTCGTATTGTTAGTGAGCTTTAACCTAAAATATTACTTTGGTTTTCCCCCGGTAAAAAAGGGGATGTGACGGAACTTTAAATTTTTTTTTCCCGAGAAAAATTTTTCCCCTTACATGTTGTTTTGCCCTTTTAACTTTTTTGGGAAAATTTAAAGATCATAAGCTTTCTCCATTTTTTTTAAGTAATTTTCTGTTTATGAAAAATGACCAAAAATTGAAAAGCATTGCAACGCTTAACACACTAACTAATTAGGCTACGATAGCACATTAATACAATTATCAATTCATTTCTGACTTATCTACATTTCTTAAAAATTTTGCATGTCTTTCTCTCTTATAGTGCCCCAAATGTTCTATGTTAAAATTCCGATGTTATGTTTTTATGCTTTTGGAATATATTGGAGTTAAATAAAGTTAACACTTGAGCTTTAAATCAATACTTTAAAATGTGCAAAACAATTCTATCTTTATACCACTCACTCGTCCCCACATTCAACCCACGAAAAAAGAGTTTCATTTGTTGAAAAATGTTATTTTGGTTGAAAATTGCAGTAAAATAACTTTCATGATGAAACTTTTTTATATAAAAAGAGCGCTTTTTTGCGTCTGCACCAAAATTAAACTGGTCTGGATATTGTCGTTGAAAAGGGTGATAACTTGACGAGGTGTGAATGCTCTGATGATTCCTAAATTACGAATATTTTACGGTGAATTGAGCGTCAGGATGACAAAATATGGTTATTTATATTTGATGCTATCTAATATGATAATTTTCAAAGTATTTAACAAAATATAAATAAGGGGCTTTTAATACCCGCTTTCTTTTGGTCGCATGAAACTTTTTTTACTGCCCCCGTGATTAGGGTTTACATTATTTTTTTATCTCAAATTTTAATTAAAAAATGCATCCTTTAAATTCAAAAACCCTGGGGGGAAATCCCCGAAATCGTATATACAAAAGAGTCATTGTTGCAACTGTGTAGTATTTTGAAATCTGATAGCAAACACAGTTTCTCTTCACTATTTTTGTTAACGCGAGCATAATTTAAACTTTTATTTCTTTCATTTGAAGGTGAACTGTTGATAGGACAAAATGTATTTCATTCTTTATTCTTTGACGTTATCTGTCTGTCTTTCTACCTTGATGTTTGAGGTCTCCGGAAATAAAGTTTTATTGATTTCTATGGATGGATTTCGATGGGATTATATAGAGCAGGTGGATACACCGAATTTTGATGCATTTGCTGTTAATGGTACAAGAGCCCAGTATATCAAAGGCAGTTTTGTTACAAAAACATTTCCATCACATTTTTACAATGGCAACAGGTAAGTAACCAAGACTTTTTTTCAACTTCACATTTTTCAATGCAATATGTACAATTCTTGCATATAATAACGGCGATAGGTATTTATCAAGTGTATTCAAGAATATATCTACACATCTTTAATGCTGACTGCTGTTTCACCAAAGAGCGATCTTTAACTGTTTTCAATAATGGTGACAAATATAATTAAAGGGGCTTCACTGAGGTTTTTTGACACAACAGATATAATTAAAGGGGCTTCACTGAGGTTTTTTGACACAACAGATATAATTAAAGGGGCTTCACTGAGGTTTTTTGACACAACAGATATAATTAAAGGGGCTTCACTGAGGTTTTTTGACACAACAGATATAATTAAAGGGGCTTCACTGAGGTTTTTTTTGACATGACGGGTGACTGATTTTTAATTCAGATCGTTTGCTACCTCCGGTGTTTTTCCAGAATAATTATGACCTAATACCTTAAATTGAAAAGCGTCGCATGGCTTTTTTTATTTCAAATCGGGCGAGGAATTTCAAAAATATCTAAATATTAAATAAAATCATTACTACAAATATAATACCATGGTTATATTACGAAACTATTTAAAATAGATAAAATTTTCAACACCAGGTATATTTTCTACTTTAATAGTATAGTAGTTTTTCCTTCTTCTTTACCGCATGACTTCGTCTAATGAGATCATTTTCTATAATTTTAATCTGATGCAGAAGATACAGTACACTTAAAAACAAGTCGCCAAATTTAAATC